AATGGGGAATATTTTAAATGTTCTAATTTTTTAAGGACTTAAAAATGAATGTTCTACATTTTCCTGCTCTCTGATTTTTTTAATGTATTTGAATGTCAGTTAAAACTAATCAAATGTTACTTTAGCGTTTGTAATAGTAAAACTACAGACTCAAATTATGCTTTTATATGTTATGGGCTAAGTTCTTATTTTACTGGACATTATTGAATTTGCATCATAATATATAATTCAGTACTTGTATTACCCTCCCTAGTTCGTGTTAAAAGTGCCAAAGATCAAAATACTTACTGGTAACTAAAGATGATTTATCTTTTCATGGAAGCCAAAGGATGGTTTCATTGCAAATTTTGCAGCACCCCATGGAAGCTTCTGAACCCCTCCTGAAACTCCTCCCTTTGCCCACAAATACTTCTAAGGGAAAGTTATTAAAGTACTTTCTGTCACTTCCCCTAGTATATAAATAACTCAACATAAGCTCCATGGGCCCCAAACAGTATATTCTTGGTTCAGTTATTTTCCCTTCCACTCTCAGTCACAGGTCTGATAACCCAAATAGTCACTCAGTAGACAGTAAACAAAAGTATTTGGTTCTGCTCCTACAAATGTATGCTCTGACTTTTCCTTCCTGGTCTGGAGGTCCCTCAACTACCCATTGAACTGTTTCTACCAATCATAAATCCTGTGCTTCCAGGATTATTATGTTAATGTCACATTTCTGAAAGCAGATGATCTATTGTGGCATGAGGAACATGACATCACCTGGAAATGGGTAGCAGGAAGCTCCACCATACATTCCCCAGCAAAGTGGCCGTCCCTTTGTATGCCCAAGTGTGATCTAGGCATCCACCTCCAGGGTGGCTTTCCTCCAAAGAAATTTTTTTAATTAGTGCTAATGGTCAGAGACCCCCAGGTAGTTTCTCTCTGCGTGAGGCTTCGTCTTTTCTGAATTAGAGAACAATTACTTTGTCTGGTACCTCATGCATGTGTTGGAATCGAGTGAAGAATGTTCAGAAGCTTGACAAGTTCCCACTGAAGACTGTCATCCTTCACTGAATAGCAGTGTTTTCTTTGTTAGTGAACCTCAGTTGTTAAGTCAACAGACTTCTCTCTTGTGAAAACCAGGGACAAATAGTAATAGTTATTAAGTGATCCTCTAACGTGTTATTTTTCAAATTTTTTTAAATTGTCAATGGACCTTTGTTTTATTTATATGTGGTGCTAAGAATCGAACCCAGTGCCTCACACATGCTAGGCAAGCGTTCTATCACCGAGCTACAACCCCAGCCCCTCTAATATGTTCTTTATAAACCCAACATTCTAGTTTTCTGAGCTGTAGTTCATTTCACACATATTGAACTGAGATTGTCCTTATTATTTTTATTACCAAGTCATGGAATTAGAAGTTAGAATTATGAGGTTTTATTTTTAAATATAGAATTAAAATGGAGGAAGACTAAGGAAATGATTTTATATAAAGCCATATGTACATTTCTATAAAGTAAAAGGAAAATTTCTCTGGCTGAATACTGTAATTTTCCTGTAAATTCAATGTAAGTTTTAAATGAATTCTCTGGAATTATGTTCTAACAAAGCTGAGTGGTTCATATTATGGTCAAAGTATTGAATTTTGCTACCATAATTACTTAGCATGCCCTTGCATTCCTTTAGAACACTATTCTTCTGATAACAAAAGTAATACTTGTTTACAGTACAAAGGTTGGAAAATATTTTAAAATACATAATTCAAAAGAAACTAACTTGACTCTCCCTCCTCAGAGGCCGCCTGCGGCTGCATGCTTCATGCACACATGCAGGACATGTCATGTGTACAGTTGTTTTCTCGGCGCCCAGAAGAATACACTGTTTCATCCCAAATGGATGCTGTTACGTGTGCTTTTTGAATCTGTGTCAGCACATTGTTGAAGTCTAGTAACAGAAATTCTGACTCAAAATAGGTTTTAAATTGACTGAAGTGTGGTATCCCTGAAATAGGATGTGCAGAGGCAGGCTGGCTGCAGGATGGGTGGTTGGTTGGTGGGCTCTGCCAGGCTGTCAGGGACCCAAGGACCTTCTGTTCTCCCTGTCCTTCTACCCACATTGTTAGCTTCATGCTAAGGTCATATCCTCATAGCTATAAAATTGCCACCATGAACACCAGGGACAAATGACCATGTCCAATCCTGATGTTGAGAAAGGCGGCCCCCTTACCCTGCAGGCTGCCTGGGCAGGTGTGGCTGCCACAGGAAAGCTGGGTGCTCTAGGCACGTGCTGCTGTGCTGTCACCAAAAAAAAAAAAGTTTCTTTTCTTAAAGCATCACAACAGTTACCAGGACTCAAAATTGATATGAATGTTTTTAGATATTTTATTTACATTTAAAAAATCAGTTTCCTTTGTAAAAACTCTTTTTTTAGAACAATTTGGAGAGAAAACAAGAGTAGTTTTATGGAGAACTAATTCTCATCTATCTAATATTGTCCAAAGATTTAGCATTTTTGTGGTGTCTTCTTTTTAACAACAACAAAAAAAAATAATAAATTTTTTTCATGAATAGTGACTTAAACATGTTCAGAAATTAAAAGCTAACAGAAAAAAAACTTAAAAATAAAAACCTTAATAGAGGTAAATTGTAATGTTTCCAATTGCTCTTTTTTTTAAGAGAATTATAGTTATACATTGTATTTGGGTCATCCTGACAGAATTATTACATGAACAGAACTCAATTTCAGTTCATGTCCCCCTTTTTCCCTTTCTTCCTCCCTTTCCCTGTCCTCCTTCTGTTACTCTATTGATCTTCCTTTCACTCATCCATTTGTTTATTTTTTCAAATATTTTTTGTAGTTGTAGATGGATACAATAGCTCTAATTATTTATTCATTTATTTATTTATTTATTTATTTTTGTGGTGCTGAGAATCGAACCCAGTGCCTCACACATGCCAGGCAGGTGCTCTACCACTGAGCCACAACCCCAGCCCCATTTGTTTATTTTTGATTGGTTCTGTCTACTTAAACATAAAGGAGAAATTCCCTGGGTGTGTTTATATATGCACATAGCATTCTTTTTAAGCATTCATTCTGCATTTCCTCGCCTTTTCCATCCTTCCATTCTCTTCTTCAATCTCCTTCTTCTTCTCCACTCATCTTCCCTGCATCTTTATGATCTCCAATTCTCCTCTCCTTATTTCCTTCTTTTCCTCTAGCTTCCACATATGAGAGGAAATTTTTATGTACTTTTAAGTTTTCAAGATCCTTGAAACAATGTAACAAATAATATAGAGAATTAATGGGTATTTTACAAGACTAATTCTGAGAAATAATAAGCATATTTGAAATTACTATGGTGAAAATCAGATGTTAAAGCAAAAAGTTATATATCCCATTTTTAAATTATGCTATTAAATGTGTATAACTTCATGTGTAGTAAATATTCATATTTAATTTTAGGTGCCAATGTAACATACACTAAAATAAAATGGAACAATTTCTATGGTTCTATAAAAGAACCTATAAAGGAGTCATAAATAATTATAGTACAACTCTTTTGAAATACTTTTATGGTACTAAAAATTGAAAACTTCCTAATAGGGAATTTTTCCTAAATGAGACATGAAATAAATTAGCCATAGAGACCTAGAGTGTAATCTGTCCTGTGGGAGCCCTGAGTGAGCAGTCTCTCCTTAAGCTAATTTTATACAATGTTTAAAAACCAAGAATTTTTGAAAAACCTCTCAAAAGGTAACAGAAAGGAAAAGGTTGTTATTACATTGAATTCCTCATGAGAAGTTACTAGGTTTGCATATCCAATTCTAGAAGGGCTCTGACTGGGATCAAAAAAAACAAATAAGCAGAGCTTTCCCTGCTGGTGCAGTCCACTGGGTGCCCTGGGGTCTCTGGTCCACTGGAGATAAGAGCACAGATGAAGTGATGTTTCTGTGCTCAGAATGCATCTTGCCCTCCTTGTCCAACTCACCAGCTGGAGAGAAGTTTACCCATGTTCACAGTTTATATTTTTTAACAAATTCTACCTCCCCCACTCACCTCCTTAACTAGCAAAAGGAATACAGAATCCTAACAGAAGCAAAGGACACTGAGGGGCCCCATTTCAATGAAAAGTTGCTTGGATTTATGGACATTGTGTCTTTATTATTTGCTTTCCTTTTTAAAAATGAGTAGCATGGTGAGAGTCTTTATGTGGAGCAATTGAAAGTGTACTAGTCTACTTCTGTAGATGCCTGGTTGCCATGTGACCTTTGCAGGTAGCTGTGGTTCAGAGAAAGCATGGGTGGGTCAAGTGTGTCTCCAGTTCCTTTGGCATTATACTTGGGACATTTGAGGAGGATTTGGTCACAATCATGTAGACCAAATAGTCTACTTACTTCTTTGCACTCTTAGGATGTGGAGACAGAGCAAGCAAATGAGGGTTCTTAGTGATGCTGGAAAAATTGAAGGGTTAGCACTGTGCTCATTGGACACCTCCTTCTACTCACCAGTATAAACATAAGTATGCAAAGGTTCTAGCGAGCACCCCCATCCCCCATCCTGATGGAGAAAATCTTGACAGACTCATTTGCCCTGGGCCAAAGATTTGACGGTCTAACCCTCTACTCCAAAGATTTGTGAGCATTTCATGATCAAATAACCCTGCCTGAAAAAGAAGGAACAGCTTCCCTGGAACTTCTCTATGGCCTTGTGATGAATTCTTATAGGAATCTCTGGATTTTAGCAACCTCTTGATGTATGTATTCCAAAACATTGTCTCCTCTCAGTCAAGCTTGGTACAGATGTGGAGCACCTGAAGCACCTGAGACTTATGGCCACAGGACTCCATGGGACCAGAGAAGACTCACTGTTGCTACATTCCTAAAGTCTGCCTGTGTATTGTTTTTGTCCTTTTAAATCTTTTTTTTTTTAAACTCTAGATATTGCTGTATAGTTGGTCTAATAAATTAACTTTGTCTTATCTGGAGTGGCTTTGACACTGTCTCTGATTTTTGGAACAGAGCCATAACGCTGGAGAATCAGCTGGTGATCCTTGCAACGACAGCAAGTGATTCCGGGGCTTATTACGTGCAGGCGGTCAATGAGAGAAACGGAGAAAACAAGACAAGCCCTTTCATTCATCTGAGCATAGCAAGTGAGTTTTGGAATTACAGATGATAATTCCTAAAGAAATAAAATCTTGCCTTAATTAATAACCACAGTCTGATGGGACATTTTGCAATGAATCGCATCTCTCTCTGGTATAGTAGTTATGGTTTAATATTGATCCAACATCAATAGTTTGAAGAGCTTCAGAGCTGTTGCTTCCTTTGAAATGATTTGCAGAAAATGTGAATCGAACTGGTATTTTTGAATGCAAGATCTTATTTGTCTTGTGGATTTAAAGAAATGTTTTGTACATAGTTAATGTACATTGGTTTAACAACAACAAAACGTCTTTTGACTATGAATTGTATTTTTGAACTTTATTTGAGACTAGATCAGGTACAGATTGTGTTCCTTTAATAATAATAATATTCTTGAGGAAAAAAATATGCCGATGAAGTTGTGGTAAAATCACCAGTATTTAAGCACAGTATTTAAGACTGTTGCTATCTGATTAAACTAAGAGCATGGATCATGAAGAAAACGTGTACAAACCGCGGTTATATGTACAGTTTATTTGAGGGCATTTTAGTTTGAGGAAACTTTAAATGTTTGGCCTTTGAAATTGTACAGCAGGAGATAATTGCTAGAGAAGGGGAAGATAACTCAAAGCAGGAACTTTGAACTATACTGGATCCACATGTGCAAAGTAGAGGGCGTGTCATCAAATGTTGACAGTGTGAAGCTTCATGGTACAAAATGCAGTTATTATGCTGTTGAGAAAATGTGGTTGGAAAATAGTAATGCCAGATGGTAAATTTCAAAATATTATGATCACATCATACAAGAGTGAATTATATAGGTCTGGCTGTAGAGTAGCAGATTTCATCTTTTTGAACAATGCTTGAAGGTTTTCTCCTTCAGTTAGCTTGAAAAGTGTATGGCATACAGAGGGTGGAGTTTGCTCCACATGGTCCTTCAGGACAATTACTTTAGGCCCAGTAGAGTTCACAGGGTGAAATGTTCATAGCAAATGCTGGGTGCTAGAATCTGTAGATTAATTGAGTTCTTACCTGCCTCCACATCCTGTTAGGTGATCTGGCCAGCTGCATGTGCTTCATCCTGCCATCAGTCCTTAATTCCCAGAATCGAATCCTGCTCCCGAGGCTGGGCAGATGTAGAATCACTGAGGCCTTTTAATGATCTGAGAATTATGCCAGTTGACTAGATGGGAGTGTTCTAAATCCAGTGTATGATGTACTGCCATTTAAAGGATCATCTGAACTCAGAGTCAAAGGAGAAATGAATATGACTTTTTTCAACAGTGATAACAAAGGGTGGACATTATATTATCAAGTAGATTGTGATTATTTTTAATGATTTCCACGTTTTACAACTAGAGCCATTTATTCTATTTAGCAAATCTGATTTAGTACTCAATTGTGATATAAACAATAATAGTCAAGGATGGTAGACTTCTAAGTCAGAAACAAAGAAATTGGCCTCAGTTTGTTAAAAGAGGTGAAACATAATTTCACAAAAATTCTGGTACACGGAACACTCAAAGTTTACATTTAGTAGTTTCCTATAGGCCATTCTGATAGCCTATAGAAAATAAAGCTAGTACAGTACATTTGCAAATTACGATATGAATGCAATACCATGGCATTAGATATTTGGAATATGTAGATTTTTTCAATAATTTGTTTCTACCCCAACTAAAAGTATATTGGAATCTGCTCATAAATATTATAATTAACTGGCTTGCATTTTGTTTCATTGTATATTTTTATCTTTTCATTGGCACTAAAGAGAATGTGTAAAAGGTGAGATATAATGAGGTTGATGATCTGGACTGGGAGAAAACCCACATTTTGTTTCTTTCTATAATTCTTTGCTTTTTATCAGGACCAGGTACAGCAGGGAAAGGAAGGACTTTGAGGAAAACTTCATTATTTAATTCCTAGGAGAACCTTTCCTATGACACATTGGATTTAGCTAAATGTTAAATGGCACCAATTATGCATTTTCCCACTAAAAGTTCTATTTTGAAAACCTCTAAAGATCAGAAGTCTTGATAAATCTGTAGAACTCCCCAGAACTGCATGTTTAAATTAGGTTCTGTCTGGACCATGGTGATGCTGTCTGCAATGGGAGCCACAGCTTGGGCCTGACGCCTGGGGAGCACTGCAGGCCCCTCACCACCCTGGATTTATTATGAAATTAGATATTCAAAATACCCTTTCACACCTTGGCAAGACATAGTGTGCTGTGGACCTAGAAATCTTTTTATTCTGAGGTAGCCTTTTGTGAAAACACCAACAAGATTGATGAAAAATTTTTTAAATTTGCCAGCCTGCATTTCTGAAGAATCAAAAGACATTACAGCCAATTATTATTTAATGAAGACACATCTTTCCTTGGTGTCAGAAGAATAAAGTAAGAACCTTTGTGTAGTGACTGTAGTCAGAGTAGCAATGTGCCAGGAGTCAGATTCCTGGTGGATTGCACTGTAGTTAATTTAGCAGTGGTGTGTCCTTTGTCCTACCTCTCCTTCCCCTCTGTGGGGACAGCAGGGCATGAGGACGGAGCAGTGGGGCTAGCCTTGTCTCAGAGCATGTAGATGAGCCATGTGCTATCACTGCCAATGGGAGGAAAAAATGTTTCCAGAACAACTGTACCTCAAAGTTCAAAATCCTTACTACCTTTTGCTGAATATTTTGGCTATGCTTAAAGTTTGTGGGAAGCAAAAGATAAAGAGAGTATGGCTAAAAATAAATAAATTTTTAAAAGCAGGAGTGTTAGAAGTGAAATGCAGCCCTGTAGTGGCCACACCTGCTGTTACGTACGCTTTTCATCGTTGGTATTTTTTATGTCTTAAGGCTTCTCCCCGTTTGTTTGGTTAAGAAGATAAACTGCAGCCTGGGCAGCACGGCTGTTCCTGTCGGGAAGTCCAGGAGGTCTCTGAGCTCTCCATCTCTGGCCAGTAGGGAAAGCTTGCTGCCTTCACAGGGGTGGATTCACTTTGAAGTTCTTATGTGACGTGAAACCAGCAGATGTTAAGGACACAGGTGGGACTGCTGAAGCGTCCTGTATGAATTTTTCATAGTTGGCTCCCGCAGCTCAAATGCACACCAGAAAAAGAATTGGTCAGGACTCACCTGAGAGTCGACATTTCTATTCTGAGGTCAAACCCAGGCAAGCTTTATAAACCTGTCAACCTGTTTTTCAGTCTAACTTTGAAGATTTTACATTGAGTTCACTTTTGTGGATCAAATCTTCTCAACTGAATTAATATGTGAATGGAAGTTTCTTCTTATAAAAAAAAAAAAAAGACCATAGTTAGGAGATGAGAAGAATTCTGTAGAGTGATTAATCAATCATTGTTTAAGTGCCATTGTACATACCTCAGACACATCATCAGTTCTGATCCAATATTCAAAATGTCCAGTGTAATGAGATTCTCTACTAGGGATGAAGTTAGATTAAAAAAGAAATGACTGCCTCTCTCCTTCCTGCTTTTTTCACCTCTTTCATTTTAATGTCTCCTCTTCAAACAACATTTGCAGATAGGATATCATTTCAGCTGATTCTCCTTCAGGCTGACAAACCCTTGCTTTTAATTCTGAAGACCACTTAACATTCTTTTGTCCTCTATAATGCTAATTTAACTGCAGACCTCATATATGGTTAGTAGTTGAAAGTGGATTCCTGAGAATAATATCTTTGCACAGTCATTGGAGAGGACTGCCCTGTAAAACATGTCTTTTGTGTGCCTGGATAAAATTCTATCTCATTTTCCTTATGCCTTTAACATTAAAGGGGACAAGGGGCAGGCATAAGCCTTTCAAATGGACTCTGACATAAGTTGAATTCCTAAACAGTAGGAACAGTTTGAAATACAGTCTTACTCAAAATCTGTCTGGGGATAGGACCCACATTCCAGGTGATCAGCTTCGAATCAAGCTGCAACTCTATAGGTTGCATGATGCTTTACTGCCAGAATTTTCAGATAATATAAAAAAGAAAGTGTATTTTATAGAGAAATCATGAGTTTAGTGGTTTAGCCACATACTGAACCTGCTAAGTTGGGTGTGTAATGAGACAGAGGTGTGTGCTGGTTCCAGTCTCTGGAGCCACTCTGGTCCTGATGGGCAGGACCATGTCTGGGGCTCTGCACTCTGTAGCTCCTTTATACATACTCCATTAGGAAATGAACCCCAGGCATTATCCCCAACCTAGGATTACTTAGTTATGTAGAAGTTGTAAGGATTGATGTCATACCAAAGAGAGAAAGCCAAAGTATAAAATATTTTAAGAATCTTGCTCATCATAAAAATTTCATTTCTTTGGAATGGCATGATATATACTTTGTAAGTAGAAATTCCTATTTCACTTGATCATTGTAATAATGTTTAATTTTTTGGCCAAATTCCTATGACTTGTGGTTGCAAAGAATTGTGTTTCCTGGTCATGTGATATCCATTCCACAAGAATTTGTTTAGTTCAAACTAAATATCCATATGGATAACTGTGCTCCTGCTGGTAAAGGTGAAACCATAGCCTGTTGGAGTGTTCTGAAAGCAGACAGGCACAGGAGGGCATCCTGTCTACTTCTTGATAAGTGAGAACATCCAAATGCCCCTGGGATAGCTTGAACACAGTGAGAGAGGTGACCACCCAACTAAATACTTGATCTGCTTGATGAACAATGTTAAAGCTTGGTTTTTACTTATTTTCACTTAAAAACATTAATTAAAATGTCAAGTCTAATATTTTGTTTCTGAACCCAAAATATTCACATGCATGTGTGGACTGATGAATGACTTTAAACTCTGAGGACAGCTGGTGACTGACAACAAGACTTAAGGAAAGACAAAAAAAAAAAAAAAAAAAAAAAATCCAAAAAACAAAAACAGAAAGACTGAAGAGATGAGGCCATCATTCTCTCCGCACACCCCGAAACCAAGACTGGATTATTTCTGTTGCCCCTTCATACTATCTCACTCATCTTCCAGCTTTTCTTATCCCAATGTATCTTTCTTTCCT